CTCCAGTTGTGTCCAGCCTGCCTGATTTGCCACCAGCTCTGCCCTTAATTTTGAGCTTTGGTAGGGTTCGAGTTCTGTAGAGTCATGCCTTGGCGGTTTGCTGGGCCTCTGTTCACTTGCCATGTACCCAGATCTACTGCTTCTTAGTCTATCTATTTAGATGCATTTATTTTCATCATGCTACTGTCTGCTGGTTCCAGTCTTGGTCTGGAGGTGTGTCTGTGCTGAAGCCACAGCTGAAAGTGACCTTGAGCATAGAGCCCAGCCGAGTTTTGTTCCTCCAAAGCCTTTGCTGGCTCTTCACTGCTGTGAGCAGCTCCGTCCTCAATCACGCCTGCTCTCCATCTGTCAGCGACTTTAAGCATGACTCACTCACCATGGTAAAGTCCTGCCAGGCTCTGGACTCCAGAGTCTTCATTATTTGCCTGAAACTATCATTTATGGTGGCTTTTGTTGGGTGTTAAAGTAATCTGAAGCCTAAACCTAAGTTATGACATCGAGGCAGGCAGTGATTACTTTCTGTTCTGCCTTCTTAAGTCACTATGTTGATGTCTTAGGGCAAAACTTAATGGGCAGCAAAATTGAAGATCTTAGAAGTGGGGCTGTCATTCGATTAAAGAAAATGAATTAATTGCAATGAATTAATCGCAAATTAATAATGATTAAAAACTTGTTTTTCTTAAGACTGAAACTTGGTATAATGCATTTTCAAATGTAAAATCAATCACCAAATTAATGTAGAATAATCATAATGGATGTATATTTCAGATATAACAATGCAGAATGAATGAATGAGAATAGTACAATCATTAACATGGTTGCCCCAAAATGCATTGCGGAATGATGTCATTAAATGTGTTTATCGCATTAATTGTGTTAATTTATTTGAAATTGCATTAAATATTCACAACGATTATCATCTTAATCTTGACAGCCCTACTTAGGAGACATAAAAGGAGCCAAACAAAAACTCCTAATATTTGTATGAAGTGGAGAAGTGGGCGTGGGGTCATTCACACATCGACTTGCTGTAGACACAGATCTTAGGCCCCAGTTCACCTGGATTGAAGAACCTTGTGTGACTGCAGGTAGCCAGAAAACCTACAGGAAAGCAGTACAAGAAGTGCTCTCATACCACCGAAGCCACTCTGACTCTGCCCAGGCTGGGGAAGAACAGAAGCCCCGAGGGGAGAGGTGGAAGCACGCTGCCCTCAGAGCAAGATCAGCGTTAAATATGGTGCCGCAGCTCCAGAGCAGAGCGACCTTCACATCGACAGCCTTCCAGCTCTGCGGTTCTTACATATTTATGATAGAAACACTCTTATGATCTGTTTCTTCATTTATTTTCTGCTTCTTGTGTATCCATGACAACTGTTTTATATATTAAGTGAACCTCTCTCCTGGTTTTTTAGTAGTAAGTGGATATATTCCCTTACTCCCAGTCAGAAATCTGATACACAATGCTGAGGCGGGCTAAATGGAGATGCTGTCTAGTCAGATGTTTATCGCTGTAAGCGGAGAGCCCCATTGCTCTCAGTCTGTGTTTATATGGTCATTAATGTTCATTAAGCGTTTCTTTGCCTTCAGCTCTGCAAAGGCTTGGACTCAATGCCTGGTGCCAGGGATGCATCGCATGCACCGGGTTTAACCAGCCAATAAAGTTCATTTACACATGTCTTCAGAGACTTAACATTCTATTTAGGTGATGAAATTATCAGTTGAAATGACTTCCAAACATCTGGAATGTTTGCAGTTGAAGCAGATTGCTAAGCGGCAATGTGCTAGTCAGATCTGGTCAGTCGTTCATGTTTCTTGTGAATTTAATAAACACATTTGCAGTGTGACGTCAAACTGCCTCCGTCCTCGGTGTGAGAAAGACAGGGCAGTGACACTGTTCAGGATGGTGTGGCAGGATGTCATGCAGGAACTGGGGAAATTTAGGATGTCAGCAAAGTGAAACCACGTTCTACTTGTCTCATGCAGCGAGCACAGGAAAGTCCACACATGGATGTAGACATTATGGGCTTAGTTACACATTCTGATGGGGATTTTTCTGTCACTGAATGCTGCTATGGAGACCACACAGGCCCTAATTACATTTTACACAATGGTAGCTTTTAATGAGGCTAATTCTAATATTTATGACTTGGGCTAAATGAAGGTGACTCGAGGCTGACTAGGAGGAGCAGATAGAGGTTGGATGCGTGGATGATAAAGGTTCACCATCATTCCGGAAGGAACCGCATTAACGTGTCACCTGACGAAGCTCTGGCTCCTCCCCCAGGGCTTTCATGTGACCAGGAAATGGCCTATCACAGGAAACATGAGTAACCATGCATATGGTGTGGCTGTTGGCTTCCAGCAGATGCCCTGAGGCCAAGGTCAGGAAGAGGAAGGACAGCTGCTTCACAGCTGCTGCCCGAGTGCAACCTCCCGAGGATGCAGGTATGAGAACACCAGGGGGCGTGCTAGAGGCAGAAATGAGGTCACCACTCTGTGCTTTCGGCCCAGGCACAGCTGGCGTGGCTGAAACATGGTCGCGGTGACCTCCTGCAGAGGGGGGGTGGGGGTGACTCTCCTGGTCTCTGCTGCGGGCCCCTCCTTCCTGTTTCACCCCCCAGGGCATGCTCACTTCCTGCCCGTCGGTTCTTCAGCAAGACGTTTCACACTGGAAGCTGCATTACGCTTCAGTGGTCACACTGCACGTCCCGAGCGCGACAGGCGCGATCGTGAAGTGGTGGCTGCTGCTTCCTCCTGCCCTGAAGCTTCTCCAGATCACTGAGTTTCTCTTTAGCCTGAGAGAGAGAACAGTTCCAGCCCTGGTGGGTTTGACATGGTGAGACTCAAAGGGAACTTCCCCTTTAATCCAAGCTACACTTGCCAAGAAGAAGCAGCAGTTTTCCACTTAGCAAAGCCGTCAGACAGACACCGGCTCAGAGTAAATAAGGAGGCCCACCCCCCCCTTCCAGAGGAAGCCCCTGCTGTAACTGCACAGCCTTCCTTCCCCCCCCCCCCGCCCCCATCGCACCATATAGAAACATATATTTAATAATTTACAAAATATATCATATGTATCTATCATACTGGT